GTTTGCTAAATAACAAAATTTAAATTTAATGTAAATGTAAATAACAAAACTAAATAGAAATTTTAAAACAAGCCCCAAATCAAATAAATAAGTAACACAAATAAAATAAATCTCTTCATATAAACAAACTAAGGCTTTGTCTGTGCTCTTTCCATTTAAAATTAGAGGCAACCACTGCATTTTAATCATGATCCAAACAAAGATGCTGCATACATGCAACATGAGCAGTTTTTAATCTAAATTAGATTGTATAATTTCGAAATTTGAAGCAAAAACAGAATGGCTTGACTTCAGTTTTGTGAAACTATACATAAAAAAATCTGCATGAAACAGAAACAGCACATGAGCTGTTCTTCTCCCCGGAGTTACATCTTCCCCCATTTTGGAGAGTACCCAAGAGCGTAATCGACGTAATCAGCGTTGTTTATGTTCGGGGAGAAAGCGCGCGCATGAACATAATCTGTGCAATCAGCGTTGTTTACGCTTGGGGGAAAGCGCGCGTATGCGTTGTGATACTCTCTAAAATGGCGGAAGACGTAACTCGGGGGAGAAGAATTGCTGAATAAATTATGTTATTTTTGTTTTCTTTGCGCTCAAAAAGTATTCTCATAGCTTCGCAAAACTGAAGTTGAGCCACTGATGTCACATGGACTGTTGTACCGATGTCCTTGCTACGTTTCTGGACCTGGGAACATTACAGTTGCGTTGCTGTCTATGCAGGGTGTGAGAGCTCTCACATTTCATCAAAAATATCTTAATTTGTGTTCTGAAGATGAACGAAGGTCTTACAGGTTTGGAACGACATGAGGGTGAGTAATTAATGACAGAATTTTCATTTTTGGGTGAACTATCCCTTTAAGGCCATTATCTATTACTCTGACTGACTCCCTTACCAGTGCGCTGACTACTGAACTAGGGAGCTGATTGAGACGCACCAGAGATTTAGTTTGCATTTATTTTTGAGAATAATTTACTTTCTCTTAAATATTCTCATCTTAAACAGGGCAAAGTGTCCAAGCACACAGAAAAACTCCTGGTGGATCAACTGAGATCCACGTGACGCATGATTATAAAGATGGCGTTTATTAAAGAGGAGAGCGAAGACCTGAAGATTGAAGAAGCATTCAGAGTCAAACATGAAGATACTGAGGAACAACCAGGTTGGTTTTCATTCTCAAAGCTTAACTCACTCATTTGATCCTTATTAAAATGTCCAGCAGATGGTCTACAGAATTGAATGATATTCTTGAAGAATTTTATGAGTGTCCTAATTAAAGTGGTTTATATGACATGGAGCGGGTCGCCTCGTGTGGACAGTAGGCTTTTTGATGTGACAGATATTGTCCCACAAATAATTGCAATAAACAGGGGTGCAAATAAGATTTTCAGTCTGGTTCTCATAAATACACCTGGAGATTTGGTTTGGTTCTTACACTGCACATAGTGTGTGACCCGTGAAATATGATTATAAAAAATAAATGAATAACAGTGATAACAATATTATTGCATTTTTAGTTTTGTTAAATGAAATAAACAAAATAAGTGTGATAATACTATTTAATTTTCAAATAAGAAGGGAGTACTAAATAAAAATACAATTATTTACATGTATATAAAATATGAATTTTCATCATTTTCAAACTTAAAATCAGGAAGCTTTTATTTTGTTGGGTTGCCGGCAAGTAAACATATGCACTGCCGGGTTGAAGAGCATTCAGTGAATGAAATCTCATGAAATGTTTTGTGTTGTGCTTGGAAAATGGCAGTGGATAGCCTAGATTTATGCTTTCAGTTCGAATAGAACATTTTACGGAGTATTACAGTTTGTTGATCTAAAATGGTAATTGTGCATTAACAGCTGTCAACCATGGTGTATTTTAGATTTTTAACATACTGGTTTGTTTTGATTATACTTTTATTGCAAAGATATTGAAAAAACAAACCACCAGCAGGGTCACGCTTGAAGAGGTGGAGACTGATGACTGGAGACCGAAACAGGGTTTTGATGACTTTTGCTTTCAATTAGCTAGTATCAGATTGCCATCAATGATTACGTTTACAAGGACATCAGTAATCTAATTATTTACCTTATTCTGAATAAGACAATATTATGATTAAGGTGTTTACATGAGTTGATTTCAGAATATTCCTTTCATGTTTCATGGCACGTCATTACATCACCACCGCCATCCGCCATCCCCTCCAGAAGTTCACATATAAACATATAGTTTTCGTTATGATGCCATATACAGTTTGGGTGTTTAATTTTTAATTTACTGAAAGCTTCAAGTGCAGTTCATTATTTGTCATGCTGTACGTGCAAACAGACAATGGCGTTGAAGCCATGCTCTTTTGTTTGCCGTCAAATGGTTGAGTACTGCCGTGTGTGTATCCTGTCGCAATATGCGGCGAAAAGTCCTACACAACGGTTGGGCTGCACAATTATGGAAAAAATCATAATTGTCGATTATTCCCTTGAAATTGTAATTGCGGTCATTAATTATGATTATCACAATTTACATTTAATGATGTTTATACCATTGTTTGATGCAACTGCATGCCGTGTTTTTATATGAAAATAAACAAGCTGAAAACTAACTGAAAAACCTTTAGTGCTTTTCTATAGTATTAAGCCTCAAATGTCAACTATACATCGGATTGGTTTCTTCTTTAAATTATAAAAAAAGTAAAAATATGAATGTTTATAATGTTATACTAAAACTAAAACAATGGAAAAACCCTTAAGATAACATGTAGAAAGAAAAAAAAACATATCTTAAGCGTGCAGAATAACATAAGTGGACTTTGAACGATTAATTGCCGCTTTGAATGATTACGTAATTGTGGCATCCATAATTGTAATTTACATGGTAGATTCTTAATCAGAGTATTGTCTTAATCGTGTTAAAATCGGAATATTGTTGTCCATGTAAATGTAGTCTATGTCACTTGGAGTGATTGACATCCGTTAAACAACCTTGCAATTGACATAAGAAAATCTAGTGTCATTTGGCTAATGCAGGAAACTATAGTGGAACAAAATGGCTAAATTTACATTGTTTTGAGCTGAAAAAATGTGTAATTTGTAGGGGTGGGAATCACCAGACTTTAGTCTAACAATGTGCTACAACAGGTATACTATGCACTGCTGTGCTCTTAGTATTTTACTTTCATTCATTCCATGTAGTTCCAAGCCAGTTTAATCACCATTCTATATTAATGTGCTGCTTTAATTGATGCACACACACACACACACACACACACACACCACTCGCACTTAAACACAGTGAGAGGGAGAGAGGTCGGAGATTGCAGATCGCACTGCGCACACACAGAAACTTATTGTCGGTGCTGCCTGCGACTTTCATTAATAAAATAACATGGATACTAAATCGCTACATTATCTTCCTCAGCAACGAGGTAAAATCAAAGTAATTAAACGGCTTCATTGTTTGTAGAGAGAGACGCACAGACGCAGGCAATTCACACACACAACTGTCATCTCTTTCTCGATCGATAATTCATTCAAATACATGCTATAATTCATTCAAATAAATGTGGTCTTAC